ATTTTATTTATACAGAAGATTGTTCCAACATTAATCATTTATCCACGTACTAGAATAAAGTAAGTAATTTCAGTGGTCTATCCCTTTCCAAATATTTTAGAATAAACTACCAATAGGTCTTAATAATTTGATTTAATTCCTATCAAGTCCTACTGAAAATAAGTGCTAGTAAAATCGTCGCTAAAAATAATTTTTTGTGACAATTTTTTGCATATGTTGTTAAAAATTGACAATTACTAACTTCTTTTTTTTTTGTCACGGTTTTTATAAATTGTTACTAAAATTTACAATTAGTGACATTTTTTTAAAACGAATTTTTCAAATTGTCGCTGATAGTTGAAAATTAGTGACTTTTTTGTGACGAATTTTTTAAATTGTATCTAAAACTTATAATTAGTGATAAATTTTGTAACAATTTTCAAACTGTCGTTGAAATTAACAATTAGTGACCTTTTTTAATAGTGTTTGATAAAAATGCCATTAACTATCATAGGACCTATTAGACAATAAATCTACCTATTAGGACCTGTTGGAAATGGTTAATTTTTCCTCAAGTTTGGTCTATTTTTTAGGTGGGCCCCGAGTGTCGATTTACTCGGGTCAAAGTGGTAACGCGTTCTATGCCGCGTTGTGATTCACGTGGTATATTTGGTTGCTCAAAACCATTACCGAGTGAATGGAAAATTGAAGCCAAAGTGTGCTCCATGGAAATGGAGTTTTGGTGGAAATTCCTTAAGGTTGTAAATTGGCTTGTCCCACATTGATTTGGTGGGAGGTTTTGAAAGGGTTTATAAGGCTTAGGGTGAGATACTTGGGGTGTGCCCCAAGGGGTACCCAAGTGTTTTAGAGGGAGAGGTTATGGGCAAAATGGGCTAGACCCATTGGACCCAAAAATCACCACACACGCCGCCGCCGCCGTCCGTCCGACCGGTCGGGCGGGCTGGGCTTGGGCGCGGGTGCGTGTGGTGTGGTTGGGCTTCTAATCTTTTTGGGCAAAAAACATTTGAATTTAATTTTATTTTTTATTAAAATAAAATCCATAATTCAAATTAAATACTTCCAACAATTGAGGCTATTAATGTAATTTTCCCTGCTTTTAAAACAGGGAGACAACATTCTTGACCCCCAAAAGAAAGGAAGCCTAGTTGGAAAATATCACCATGACTTATTAATGACAATGACATCCCACTTTTTTCATGTGATAATCGCAGCATCACTACTTTAATAGAGAGAGAGAGAGAGAGAGAGAGAGAAAGAGAGAGAGGTGGAAACTTTCAACGGGATTGTGTTAATCCATGGATATAGAAGTTTTTCAACTCCCTCATGGTGTTATTTTGGAGCCATCTTGCCGCCCATGCATTATGAGTCTCCTCTCCTCTCTAATCAAACCACCATGTGGTCCTATGGATTTTTTTTTCTCTTCTTTTTCTTGGTGTCATAAAGTTGTATTTGGATCAATAATTTAAGTAAAAATTTGTACAGAAAAAAGAAACAATAGAGAAAAATGAATAATATTGAAGTTAAAATTTTATCACATTCCTTTTTTTCCTTCCTTATTTTATAAATTTTCTCAAATCTTAAATTCAAACACAACCTAAAGTCTCAACTTCAATGTTAACTCAATCATCAATGCTAGCTGTCTCAATTGAATTATGGCTCCACATTGGAAAACAGTAAAATTGATCAAAGCAATAGAGTCTATGAACTTTTCTCAAATTCATTAGTCACAATCAAATGGTAAATTATAAACTGTCTTTTTGTATATGTATTTCCTTTTTGGAACCAAGTACAAAGATTACTACAGTTATTGTTTGACTTGAGTTGTGGTTTATAGTTGAGCCAAGTTTCATTTTATATTTTTCACATCCTTTTTCAAACCCTTTTTGGACCCTTGTGGATGTGAACAAGGGCGGATCTATCGATAGGTAAGTTAGACAATCGTCTAAAGCCTCATAATTGATAAGATTGCTAAATTTTAAGATCCCTTATGCTGTGTTTGGTTGGGATTTTTGGGGTGGGATTTGGAAAAGGAATGAGAAATGTAATCTTATTTATGTTTGGTTATAATAAAAAATATATGGGAAAAGAAAGGGGGTGAGAAATAAATAAAGAAATAGGAGACCTTTTAAGACATCAATTCTATTTTATAACCAACACAACCAAACATAGTTGGGATTTGGAATTCTATTAATTCTTTCTCCTTTTCCTTTCATTTCCATTTCCCTTTCCATTTCCCTTCCCAAATCCCCCAACCAAACACAGCACCAAACACAGCGTAAAAGAAACACTACAACTCAAGCACTACTGAGAATCTAAAATCGAATAATCTTACCCTACCATCCTATTTATCTACTACTATTATGAAACTATGAAGAGTTTGCATGTTTTTTACTTTTTTTAAATGGGAGTTTTTTTGATAAATCTATTTTCTAAGAGTTTTATTTCATTCAACTCATATTCTTTTTTATTA